CATTAATTTTATTCCTGGAGGCATTATATACAGCACAACAATTTCAAAAATTTTAAGACCAACTGGACTTTGCCCAAATCTGGGCAGTTTTTCAGCTACCTTAACCCTCCATTCCCTCAATAAAATGGGAAGAGTTGTATACCTACCTTACGGTTTGTTTAGGAGGATTAATGAAGAAAATTCATGTAAACAGCTAAGTAAAGTGACTAAAAGATAAATCCACAATAAATGTCAGCTAATACCATCATCATCTTTGTCATTATCTTCACTGTTTTAATCACATCCTGAATTCACTGGACTTTCAAATGGAGGACAGCTTTTCATATTTGATTTCTTACCATACAGGAAGATTTCTCCGATTTTAAAATGAGGATGTTAAGGGGTCATATTGAGCAACATCATTATCTGAAGTCCAATTGCTGGAATACAGGATGACCATATGTGTCACTAAGTGCTGATTCTAGGAAAGGGAGTCTCCAAGTTGATCAAGTTTCTAAATGGAGCTGATAAAGCTAAGTTTTTAAGACAGCAAAAACAAGCAAATAATGTCTTTAAATTATTGCAGTGCCATGAAGTTATGCCTCCATAAAATATAGCAGATATGACTTTTGAGGGGGCTTGAGTTTAACCTTCAGAATGCTAAAAGTCGGTGAAGGTTCCTTGCTGGAAATGGCTACTTTGAGATGGTAGAACTGAAACATTGAGAAGAAAATGGGGGCCTCCTCAATGCATTATTGAAATCTAAAGAGCTCTTTGTATTGTATGAATGTAGGGATTATCTTTTTATCATTCCACAAAATTAAAGCTTAAAAGTTCTATCCAAAAGCCTAGCTATGGAGAAATCCTCAAGGGTCTTCCATTAATGTGGTAGCCAAGAAGTACACAGGATTTTAGTCAAAGGCCAGTGGCAGTCTATGTGACACAGAACTAGCCCCACATATAGAAACAGTATGTGAGGTTCATTCCTTTCTTCACAATTTACAGCCTAGCTGCACAATTGCCTCTTTTGTTTATATAATCTCATGGAATGAGTTGGCATACAAGGCAAATAAGAAACCATGTGAAATCTCTGTCCAAACCTTGCTTCGTGCCTGATGTTCAAATGTGTTTGGTTAACCTTCTATTTATTCCTTCTCTTTCCTTCAGGTGACCTTTTTGGTCGTAGTTTTTGCCTTGGCATGCCATGGCACACAGTGGCTCAATGGGACTCTGGCACTATGTGACAAAGAAACTCTTATGAGCTGTCTATGAATTATTTCATTCATCAGGTGCACACATTGGCACTCCCTTTGAATGCCACCGCCCCTGCCACTGGAAATGGAAAAATGTCAGCCCAACACATAGGTACTTCCCACCCTCCAAATACTGAAGCCAAACAATGGATGGTGAACTCCAATCTTAGCTTTCTGTTCAATTGTTTTCCTGTTGGACAGTCTGAACTGCAATTCAGATTGTTGACCCTGGAAAAGGCAGCTCGTTGAATCAGTACCAGGATGCTTTTCCCAAGTAAACAGATAAGTGGAGGAGAATGACGCCATTCCCATTTTATTGAGGGAATGGAGGGTTAAGGTAAAACAATACTAATTGATGAAAATCAAATTTAATGACCATTGCCTGACATGAAAGTAACACGGCTCCATCACACGCCGTGTGACCAGCTCACTAACTTACCCTTCTCTAGGAAGGAGAGTAATTAATCATCATTTTGTGATAGTATATACACATTCCTGCCAACAAGTAGGGAAGTGCGTACAGAGGGCAATACTTCTAAGCACTATGAAATATTAGTCATACATCTGATTAAAGGGTATAGTGATCAAGCTGAAAACCTGCTAGATGGTTAAACTAAGAACAAGCACGGCCTAATTTTCTTTCAAGAATTAAGTCAGTCTTTCAAGCGCACTGTGAAGCTATGATAGGAATAAGCAAGGGACCTGCTTGGAAATGAAGTGAGAAAGCAATGATACGAATGAAGACAGGATTTGATTTTCAACAACACCAACGTCCATCAAAGGAAAGTACCTGCGAATTTCCTTAAATGACTTGCTGGAGGGCATTTTGTGGTAACTGTATTACTATAGCCACTTTTTTCCATCAATTAGTATTGTTAAAGAGAAGCTTGACTCTAGAGTTCCTAACAGCAGCAAAAAATAAATTCCCTCCAATTAAGTAGTCTAATAAGCTATTTAGGATTTTACCACTTAACATTCTTTCCTTCCCATTTAATTTTGGCTTTCACTTGGATGTCATCTTGTTGAAAATCCATCACAGAAAACTATGTAGAAAAAAAAAAAAGATAATGTTGCTAAGTGCCCCTGATGTTCAAAAATGAGCAGAAGCACAATATTTTTTCTAAATCACCCCAGGATTTTTCCTAATAATTCAGCTTCTTCCTACTAGAAATTAATATATGAAAATATATGAAAATGGTCAATATGCAAATTCAAGTATCACACTAGCTACTTGCCTTCAGTAAGTGCTATATGCATAAATTTGAAACGATACAATATTTTAAGGTCCTTGATTATAATAATGCCTTGGTGTGCATATGCGCATGTATAATTACATTCATTTAATTTAATCATGAAAATATTATAGGATCATTTGGTTTTCTCCTCTAAAAGTTCTCTTACTCTTTTCATTTAATTAATTTCACTCTGCCCCTTTATAAGTCAGCTAATGGTAAGTAATGGGTTTTGAGCTAAACAGAATATGGTCACATTCCTCTGGAATTATGGACAGAAAAGAGTCATGTGGGAAGGTGGTGGCCTCTTGCTTTTAGCCTACATCCTAGTCATGGAACAATGTTAAGGCTTTTCAGTCGAACCTGGTCCTGGTCCTCAAAATACTCACATTTCATAGTCATTTCTTCTACAAGTTTCCAGTGTCCCCAGTGCTGAGAATTCGCCCAAGGGCAGTCACCTGATTACAACAGAAGAGACCTGGAAACCAGCCCATGTGACCCCACATTCCACATGCTTGACTAGAGTGGAGCTTTTGGGACTCTGCATAGTTACGGAATCACATGGAATATAATGAGGGAAACATGGGGGTGGAGGACATTTAACATTCTCCATGCACTAGGAGAACAGATAATGCCCCAGTAAGTGAAAAATAAAAATGGGCCATTTTGAATGGAAGGGAGGAAACATAACATAAAGGTTATTTCATACTATCCTTCCCCTACCAAGAAAATCTTATTTTCCTTCTCACAGAAAATCTGTGTTTCTTTTCCCCAACATGCTAACAGAGACCAGTGAAAAGAAATAGGCTGCTTTGTGTCCATCAATAGAATCTATATACCATCTTTTCCCCCAGGGATTAATTCAGCTTTTGATTAAATCTTTCTGAGATTTAAATCATGATGTTACAAACCTCCAAGGAACTCTTCTATGAGTTGTGACCTTCTTTATTACTCTCTTCCATTTGATAAAGTACAAAGATTGATTGATAATGGAGTGTAGTGTGTTAGAAAACAAGGAGTAGCAACGAAAATTGCAAAATATAAGATTAATATAAACATTGCAAATGGAATGTTTTAGTTAAAATATTGTATAATTAATACTGAGTTACAACTGTGTAGCTAGTAACACTACTGTCGAGTCAGTATAGTAATGATATTAGGGCTATAAATTATATCCAATGATTAGTTAAATAACCCTACAAAGAAGAGAAAACCAGCAATGCTAAAAAAGAATTTCAACTCAATTATCATATTGTATATAGTTTAGACAGATTTGGATTGGAGGACTTTTGAATTGAGACAATCTTCTTTTTAAAAAAAAAGCTATATCAAATGTTAATTTATTTTTGTCAGCCCAATTTTGGTTTTAATAATTATTTTGCCATTAGTATCAACAAGAATGAAAGTGATTCAGTGTTTTGAGGACAATATGAAATAAATCCTTTATCTAAATCAGCATATTCTAGGACCAAACTAGCAGCTACTAATACTGCTTCAGAGAATCCCTCATTTTCTCTCTGCCCTCAAAAGATTTGGTAGGGTAAAAAGTTCACCATTTAGGGAAGAGTTCTAATGTCCTTGCTGGTTCCAACCAGAAATTTAAAAATGCCTTATGCAATTTAAGCATCAATAGAAGACAAGCCCGGAACTGATACTTATTCACTGAAACTCAGGAGTGCTTGGTATCCACAGTGGCAGATAAATTCAATATTTGGGTAAGATAATGGTAGGTTTTGATTTTCCATTTCCATAAAATAATTGATGAATTTTATATTGGTATAAAACAATCCATGGGGAGTGTTTCTTAGATTACTTAGCAGATTTCAATGCACTTCTGATAGCGCTTATCACATTTCCAATATTTACAAACACTTTTTTTCTCTCTAGGAGATGGAAATGCTGGAATATAATTTAGCCCCCTTTCCCCAATGTTGCATATGTTGAATCTTGCAATGCAAATGGTTGGGAATGGGAACCACCATTTAAAATTGGGCAAGGGCATTCTCTGTCATTAGGACCACCATCCTCCACCAGCCACAATGGACATCCTGACAGCACGATGTGTCTTCAGCTATCAGCTCATCCCATATTTAACCAACTCGATGACTTCCAGATGATGGGGAACTGCATCCTGTTACAAGTCTTCGAGAAATATTCAGTCCATCTACAACAACATCTCTTTCTATGCTGAATATTCAGTGAGTTTTTCCCTAGGGGAAAGAGCTTGTACTTAAAAATACACACTTCCCAGGGTTAAGTACAAAAATAGAGCTAATCCATTTCATAAAATCCCATGTCATTTTTCACCTCTGAACGTTCGTTATAGAAACCACTGCGTCTGCCTTTGCCGTTTAGAAAAAGACAAGATACAGAAGGTGCACGTTACCTTACAGCTGAAATGCATCCATGAATATGGAAAAGCAGGGAGAAAGGGAGAGAGAGCCAGAGAGGAAATAGAATAATAATAAGCGAGTAATGGGTACTGATCTGAGAAACATGCCAGGAGTTTGGTTACGATAAATAAGAAAAGCAGGAGTAGATTTGAAACATTCGTTTCCCTTTATTAGCTCAGTGAGGCTGATGTGTACTGCACATTTAAAAAAAATCACAGGAATTTTCATACAATGAATAAAACCACAACAATACATGTAGAATTGGCAGGTGGAAAAAAGGCCCGGCAAGGGCTCAACTAATCGCTCACTTTCCCTCTTCAGCATAGTTCAACCAACAGTATTACACTTTCACCTACAAATCTTAAAGTAGCTCCATCAAATCAGCAGTTCACATTATTGAAAATGTCTGTCACATAGGTACAAATTTAGAATCATCACATTATAGTACATGGCTATTCTAGGTCATCTATAGATCAGGTCTTAGACTACAGTGATTGAAGTTCTCATTACAGCCATCAAGAAAGGACACATAATCATTACCTACTGGAAGCTCACATCTAAAGGCATGAAAAGGTTTCCTTTTTTCAACTGACCCAAACATCATACCCCAATAGTGCAAAGTTCCCTCTCTGCTGCTCTGAATGTTGACAGCCCAACTGTTGTTCTCGGAGTCGTTTAGCAAAAAATTGATTTTGTTGCACTGGAAGAATTATTCTGCTACATCTCTTTTAAAAAAGAAAAAAACCCACATTACTAAAGCACCAGTTCGGTTACCAAAATTGTAGATGTGGTACTTACCACGGCATGAAGGCAATGGCCCACGGTCATCTAAAAATCCTACAGATCTATGCTGAAATTTGCCTTCAGTGATGATGGGGTGCACATGTTCATTTGAAATATTCTCTCCCAAAAAAATAAAAATAGAAATGAGAGGAGCACAGCTTACATTTTGATGGGCTACCCACAGTGTCTGCAGAAGATACAAAAGCTCCACTAATTTTAGATGCAATTTGAAGTCCATTGAGGAAAACTATCTTCATGGTAACAATATTGGTCAGGCCGGGTTGCGGGGGGGATAAATTAATCCTCAATACATGTGTAGTGCTGTCTTTTGATAAGAAAAGAAACCAAGTATTCCACTCATGTCAACAATCCAGGGCAAAAAGGAGAATGTATTTAAAATTGGATCACAAAAATTTAAAGGCAAAATAGAGAACACATGTGGTCCTTGAACACATAATAGGATTTACTAAATATCGATTTCTTAAAAATAATTTATTGCTCTTAATAGTCTTTTTATTATTATTCTACAACAGAAGATACTCAAAATTCAGAAAGAAAGACTGTAAACTTTAGTTTGGCGTTCACACAGAGTTAAAATACCTGCATTTAACCTACAGAACAACAAGAATTAGGCGGATTAAAGATGTGTTACTGTTGTAACGCAGAACCTGTGAACAAGTTCTTTTATTTCATAGTATTTTTATTGCTTTCTATCTACTTAGAAATAAGAAGCCAAAAAATCAAGCAAGCATCCGACAGGACAAACAGTGGATTCACTCAGAACACAATATGCTGGTGATAAATGAATGCAGCTATCAAAATTAGCTGCATTGGCCTGGGGGTGAAATCCATCTTATAAGATTGTGTTGGGTGAGAGAAAGGAAAAGAACAATTAAGTAGTAGGTGTATCATGTCTTCCAGAAAAGTCATGTCAGCCAAACAGTAATCGAATCTCAATTTAGAAACTTGAATACACACTCCAAACGTTACTGAATTCCATTCCAGGGACTCCACACTCAGATGAAATCCTGATGCTCAAAATGGAGGTTTTTCTGAAGTTTTTATTGAATTTAGCAGAAGCAATGTCATCAAGAACAACATCATGGTCACGTCAGAGGCCATGCTAGTGCAAGTAGAAACACTGCTTCTGCAAAAGCTGAATTTCCCAAATGAAGCACTTACACTCCAACCTGACAATTGTCATGCATCCTAGGTAGAAAATTTCCACTGGCTTTATTATTTTCATCATCTCATAATTTATAATAAATAGGCTATCTGCAACTGATAAATATGTCTCTTTAGTAAACAAAGGAATGAAATATCAGTATTTATACAGGATGCATAACTGTAAAAAATACAGATAAATACCATCGTCATACTCTGCCAAGGGAAAGAAATACTGGCTTCAAAGATAGTCTTCAGACACACATTAATTATTGTAAAAATCATACTATAATTATTACCTCAGCATTTTGTATCAAATTAAAATCACAAAAATTAAAACAAAACAGCATTTTAAAAAGATTTTTGACTTCTAGTTTCAAAACTACTGTTGATAGAGAAAATAAAAACATTTCTTAATGGTTACCCATTGAGAGACTTTACATAAAATCATGATATCTTCTAGAAAAATTTTAGATGAGAAAATTTCATTCCCCTAACAAATCCAGTGTATAAAACTTCAAAGAAAAACAAGCGACAAGAAAATGTGGAAAAATATCGCGGAAGTGGTTAATACCTTTAGGGGACTAGGATATTTCTTGACAAGATGCTTAGATTGAAGCTCACCTAAGGGATGGATGTGCGGAAAGCATCATTTTGCTCTTGTTGCACTCAACAGACACACACACTGTCTTTTTGTTTTTACAATCAAATATATATAAGCAGTAAGTTCAGCTTCTAAATATGTTAGTGTACAATAATTGTTTCACCTCATAATTACATTTGAATATTCTTGATTAAGAAAAATTTAGCAGTTTTGAAAAGAAGGCTGCATTTACAGTGCATAGCTGTAACAAAAAAGAACATTGTTGTATAGTATATACATAAAATAAAAATACTCCATTTAACATCTGTAAATACTTAACTACATCAGAGAATGTAGCAATTACACTATCTGAACACATCTCAGAGAGTTCTACCCAACTCTCATTAGTATTGTAACCCGGTGTCCGCTCCTCAGAAAGAACCGCTGAACAAGCTGCACGCTTGACCATTGACAAGGCTTTTGAAATTTGCAGTGGAAGATCAACATTTTGGACATTTACATGGGTGTCAGGATTAAGGATGAACTACAGAAACTTCAAAATGTTAGGAAACTTTAGCATTCTGGTGCCCGCAGTATCCTCTCCCACCCAGATTCCATGGCAAAAGGAAAAAGAAAAAAAAAAAAAAAGAGAGAGAGAGAGACAGGATATTAGTTCTATGGAACCTGTGGTTTCTTCAGGATTGTCATATAATCATTACGTTACGAGAGAAAGCTTGCTTCAAGTTGATTCTGCACTTTCTTAAAAAAACAGAGTACAAAGGCTGATGCCCAGACATCAGCAGCTGTCATTTTAGGGTGGTTTGTGGTTGGTTGGTTGGTTGGTTGTTAGTTTTCTTTCCTTTTTAATTTATATATATATATTTTTTTTTTTATTTTCCTTTTGAATAGAATACGAACATTTTGAAGTTCTAGGTTTTAAGTGTGTCTTCATGGAACTGCTGCCATTTGAAATGGTTTGCCCTTGCACATTCTGGTCAGGTGCCCCCAGTCCTCACGTGTACCCACACATACTTCCCCTAAACCAAGCACACACACCATACACATACATACACACACACACACATGCACACACGCACACTCCATCACCAAGAGACTCCAGGAAAAGCAAAGCTGACACCCATGAATAAACATGTGCTTACTGGATATCATTCTGTCTCTTGCCTCTTCAGCAGCTGTGTTCATGTAAACCATTGTTGTTATTGTTGTTGTTGTTGTTCTTGTTGTATTGTTGTTGTTTTGTTTTGTTTTTTGTACAGAGAGTGTAAAGTAGGAGAAATTCCTAAGTATGACTTGCAATAGTCTTTAGGGAAGGACGCGCTGTCCCATGAGGTATTCGCCATCCCTCTGTCATCCTCAGCTAGGGAACATGTTACCTGCGCAAGCTTCTCTGAGCTTCTTTCAGTAAACTATCAAAATCCAGAGAGTCATACTTGCTCTTGGTGGAAGCAGGGTCAAAGTCATCTGAGTTTGAATCTGAAAGAAACACAAGGCAGTTTAGACACACCCTTTGCTGATGGCCATTAACTCAATCATTCCAATTCAAGACTACTGGATTTGATAACAACTCTTACAATCAATATACTTTAGAAAACAATGTCCGGATTTTATTGGATATATACTGATAAAAAGAAAGAGGATGGGGAGTAGTGAGCTTTCAAAAATACTTACCTGTTGACTCATTTAGGCTTAAACCCCCTGGGAGTTAGGCAGAGCAAACATTAATATATCTCTGGCAGATAACCACCCTCTCCTTCCCCCGGCATGTCAAATGACTTGCCCATGGTTCCTCAATAACTTAGATGTAGACGTGAGAGTACAAGCTGGAACTAATTTTCCTATTCAATGGGATTAATTTAATTGAGCATAAAATCCAGTTGAGTATGAGAGAAAGAATCATGAGAGGGCCGGGCGCGGTGGCTCAAGCCTGTAATCCCAGCACTTTGGGAAACCGAAACAGGCAGATCACGAGGTCGAGATCGAGACCATCCTGGCTAACCCGGTGAAACCCCGTCTCTACTAAAAAATACAAAAAAACTAGCCGGGCGAGGTGGCGGGCGCCTGTAGTCCCAGCTACTCGGGAGGCTGAGGCAGGTGAATGGCGTAAACCCGGGAGGCAGAGCTTGCAGTGAGCTGAGATCCGGCCACTGCACTCCAGCCTGGGGCACCCCAAAGCCCCGTTCAAAAAAAAAAAAAAAAAAAAATCATGAGAATTTCCCCTAAACTTCAACCTGATGCTTCTCTTTGAGGCAGGAGGGGACATATGATGTGGTCCTCTACTTCTGTACCTCTAGACATCCCAGAAATTTTGGTGCAAATTCTCCCCAAATTGGAAAGTTGAGAGGAATGCTTCACATCCCAGGAGAGTAAATTCGGAAAGAAGAAATAAAGTGCAGGTATAAATAAAGCCACACCCTTCTTGGACTCTTAAAGTAGTCCAAGTAAGCTTTTGGGCAAAGTTTCACATTCTACTTCAAATAGACCTTAATAAAATAGATATAGTTTAGCAATATAGAAAGCAAAGTAAAATTCTGTTAAATATTCCTGGTTTTTCTCCATTGATTTCTATGAAAAAAACAGATATTTCTGCTGGTCTTGCAAGTAACAAAGGGTGGCTTGGAAATATAATAAAAAGCCTCTTGTAAATACATTAATTCTTTTTGAAAACATTTATTTAACGGAAAACAAAACCATTCTGGAAAACTAACAATTCTACCAAAATATAAGAACTCCCATGCTTTTCCCAGAATAAGTTACAAAATTGAAATGTTCAAAGTAATAGAAGGGTATAATACGAGATACTACAGAGGCATAATCGTTGACTTACAAAGTTGTTTTGCTGACAAGATTGCAAACCAAGCTCTCTAGAACCAGCCTGACCATCCCGTTTCCCAAGTTTCAATCTACCTTTACATACCTAGATTTAAAGACAAGGAAATGTCTTTACTTATGTTTTCCTTTCATTCTGATCACCTTTGGTCTTTACTGAGTTTTTTCCAGCAAGTTTTTTAAGGTAAGAGCAACAAGAACAATTACAGTCTCAATCATAAAAAACAAACACAAAACTGGCCAATCTTTCCTCAATAACATCTTAAATAGTCAATTCTTAAATTACACTGGCTTCAACGTTTCTCTTCATAGGCTAATGAATGGTTTTCTTGTATTGCTAAGACCTCACAAACAACTGCTGTTACAATCAAAATCTTTTTTGTAGAGACAAAAAAAAGAAAAAGTCTAACTCATTGCTAGAGATTAGTCTGAAATCAGAATTCCACTTGCATTGTAGATCAAGAGGGAAGAGTCCCCCAGTGATGGAGTCTATGTGATAAAAGTCAGCCTGGAACCATCAGGGACATATACACATACCTTTCCTTGAGGAATACTTTGAGAATATTTTAAATTGCCTTGCTTTGCAATATTCTAAGTAAACTCTAGAATTTCAGTGTTTCTGTATTTTGATAAGCAAATATTTTTTTAAAAATTGAAATAGTAGTTCTCAAGAGTTTCTTCACTGTGAAATACAGTGTTCACATATATACCCACTTATACAGGTTCACTGTTACTCAGAAAACAACCAAAAAATATTTTTGGTTGCATGAGATGGAATATGGATACATTTAATTTCTGAGGCAATAACATCTACTCCACGAATTTCTCTCCTGCTAATGAAAGGATATTGGAGCACAGTAAGATATAATAAAAACGTTATAGGAATAACTCAAAAAGTCACTCTAATTTTTCAAAATAAATTGTTACAAATAATGATACTGTATTATTTGAAACAAATCACATCATACTTATATTCCCAGCACCTGGAAAACTGTTGGCACCAAGGAGGTACTCAAATTAATATTTGTTGAAGGAATATACTAATCTCAAACACCAAAATATTATTAAAATCATGATTGAAAATATTTATATTGGGATGTGGGAATGATTTATCAATGAATGGCAAAGGAATACATAAAGTTACGTATGTAATCAAGAGTACTGATAATATGATACATTTATTTCAGTTAATAAACAATTTATAATGTATGTGTCATTTATACTTTTTTAAATGTTTAAGTTACATAATATAACTCATTCCTAATCAAAACTATTACATTCATAATACTGACCCATCTTTCACTTTGGATCCTGTAGTCCTACTTTAATTTCTCTATGTCTTTCACCTCTGATTTTTTTTTCATTGAGGTCTTTAGAAAGATCCATTTGCTTATAAGACAGTAAACTGAAAGACATAGACTACAGATTCATGGCAACTAGAACTTAAATCTTGGCTTCACTATTTTAATCTTGATCAAGTCATTTTAATCTCTCACTCTCATTTATAAAACTGGGTCACAAATAGTAGCTGAAATCGTTATGTTTTGCTCTGACAATATTGTCGACACCATTACCTAGTTTCAGTAGTAGAGAAACAGGATGTATAAGCTAACTTAATTTTGGGGAGCAAGTAAACAGAAAGAAAATTAATTAAGTCTATCTAGAATGATAGGGAACTTTCTTGTCTTGGTAAAATTAATCTGTGTCACATCATTTTTGCTTTACTATTGTGACATATGTGTAAGCTCCTAATTCCTGAGTCCAGCATATTCTTATGCCCTGAAGCATGCATGAACACTAAATATGGTGAGCACAAGGATATTTGAATTCTTCAGGGAACAAAGACAAGACATATGAAAAGCTTTTTGAGTTCCAAAGCTGATTCCTAGAGTTGATTCTTCCATTTTAAAATGACTTTACACTTCTAACTTCTCATTCCCATCATTTTAAATTGTAATCATAGCCACTATTTATTGAGCACCTATGTTATGCCAGACACTGTGCTAATAGTATCACAAACATTTATTTAATCTTCACAATAACACTATACGGTATTTTACAAATGAAGAAGCAGAACTGAAGGGGTCGAATTGTTTGCCCATCAGCAGTGTTAAGTCAGATTTCAATCCCAGGTCTGCAGGATTCCAAAGCCTGGCCTCTTCGGACTATACAATGCTGGAGCTCGGAAAAAAACTACCTTTGTGCCATCGTAGAGTTCAAGGGAACTGGAAAAATCCATGCTACTACAATGCACATCAAACATACTTTTCAGAAAATACAGAGCGAGCTTAGCAATGGCAAAGTTTCTATTGCTGCTGGCTAGGCAGGAAGATAACGAGAGAGGAAGCATTCTTCTTAGAAATATTTCAGGGAGGCTCCAGTTCAATTTGGAAATACCATCCAATCCTCCCTCTACCAGTGATGAATCGTGATCTGAAGGCCCCTCTAGGTAGCTTATTTTAAACTCTAGATATTTTGAGAGACTAGAAACACCCTGGCCTTCATCACTGAAGAAAATAAGTCAAATCAACTCAAGACTTCAATCCGTCTTGACTGTTTTTATCAGCCAACATTTGAACAAATGACTTGCCACATTCTATATTTTCATCCCTAGCCCACTATCTCTCTAACAGTCAGCTGCCTCTCCCCTGCTTCCCACTATCTTTTTAGCTTGTGGAATGAGTTATAGCATATACCCTCTGAACAATGCACATCACCTGTATCCATTACTCTAGGAAGACATCCCTTCGTTGGACAGAAGAAAAAAAATCCCTGTATTTGGTATTTGTTTCCTTCTTTATACCAACCCAGAGAAAATGCATATAGATATCTAATAATGCTGAGGACTAGATGTATATGTTAATTCCACGATAAATATTAGACATAAATTTAAAATAACTATGTCATAGCCACAAGACATTTGCCACTTTCCTTCCTCAAAGAATTTAAAAGCTTACAATGCGCACATTAGATGGGGAATGACATGCAAAGGAACAAAATTAAAATTGAAAAGGAAATTAAGATGTCCATTTTAGCATTATTTATAATATTGAAAAATTAAAAATTAAATGTCGGCTGGGCACGGTTGCTCACGCCTGTAATCCCAGCACTTTGGGAGGCCAACGCGGGCAGATCACGAGGTCAGGAGATCGAGACCATCCTGGCTAACACGGTGAAACTCCGTCTCTACTAAAAATACAAAAAGAACTGGGTGCGGTGGCGGGGGCCTGTAGTCCCAGCTAGGCAGGAGAATGATGTGAGCCTGGGAGGTGGAGCTTACAGTGAGCCGAGATCATGCCACCGCACTCCAGCCTGGGTGACAGAGCAAGACTCTGTCTCAAAAAAAAAAAAAATTAAATATTTGGCTATAATGTAATGACTAAATATAATGGTACTATTCACTCAGCAAAATACTGTGCAACCATTAAAGTATGTTAATAAATTATTTTTAATCTCATGAGTCACAGCAGAACATGAATTTATATATTAATTGAGAAAAGTAGAATTTGGAAGTTTATATACATAAATATAAAAAATATATATATAAAAATTCAAATATACGAAATTAGACATGCTGAGACAAAATACTGGAAGGCAAATCACTTCATTGGTAATAGTGGTTATTCCCAGATGACAGACTGATACATGATTTTAAGTTTTTTCTTAATACTTTTTATACTTTCCACATTTTACTCCTTGAGTCTGTACAGCTTTTATAACAGGAAAAATTAATATTATGTATGCTTCAGTTTCCTTATCTGTAAAATGGGGATGATAATAATAACATACACCTCCTACAATATTTCTAGTACTTAAATGGAAAATGCTTTCAAAACTCCTGGCACTGTGTCTGGCATATGGAAGCACTCAGCAAATAACAGGTGTTTCTTTTTTTTTTTTAAAGAAAGCATAGTGTGATTTAGTATATCAAATTTAATTTTCTTCTCTCTAGTTGTAGTTCATAGAAAATAATGATATTTCTGAGTGTCTGTGATATAATAAGAAAAATATGAGACTTTTGCATATTCTATTCCATAAAACAATGATGGCAATGCTATGGTTCATGAAAGGATTCAGGGTAGGCCTGGAAAGCAAAAGCAGGTTACACACACACACGCACGCACACACGCACACAAATCATAAACACCTGTAGACACATACAATACCTACCTACATACACACACGTAAACACATGGCCACACACATCTGCACAACACATGCACACACAAAGCACAATACCACACACATACACGTTTAATATTCAGACAACACACACACAGACACACACAATATCCACACAGATACACACCATACATGCACTCACAAAATGTAAAGCTGCATGCACAACTAACGCACATACAGAAATCATGAACACATGTAGAAACACACAATATCCACATACATACCTACCACAATTTTCAGCACCTGAGTAGACAGTACAAAGAATTTACTTCTGTCCTTTCTTGCCAAAACCTAAGCCCCTTTCTTCTGAAACTGTCTTATACATTTTTCTTAAAAATCTGTATTCACACATTCCCTTTAGTAAAATAAAGTGATGGTTCAACCCAAGATGCCGACGGATTATGTTTGCTCCCAGCTTGAGCTCTACATTATGGATTCCTCATTCCACGTACAATAAAATCCATACCTAGGTCTGCATAGTTAGATTTGAAAAATTGCTTGCGTCCACAAAAGTACAGCTCGAAGTCAGTTTCGTTCGACCTGCGCAAAGTGTATCCATTTTCAAGAGCAGCAAAAGCATCACAGGTATAACGGTAGGTAATGAAACCATAGCTGTCTCTGAAATGGACAAAGAAGAGAAGTTCAAAGCTGGTTAAGAAGTATTAACATACGGGACTGTAACCCTTTCTATTTTGTGAGACTTCTCCGGTGCCAACGTCTGAGCCACTGCATCCATTTATCAGTGTGATTGTCCTGTCAAGCAGCTAAATACTTATTTCTGGGACAGGAAATCTCAACTAGAAAGATTAATAAATAGGGATGAAAGAAAATAAATAAGGTTCTGAATTCAACATGTCATCTGTCAAAGCACTTACATTGGCAACTCCCATCCCAGTAATCTTATGGCCATAATTTTTTACATACGTCAACTTCTAAACAAGAAATAATCTTGAAGATTCTCACCCATCATCCCGCAGATTTACTGTGCACTCCTCAATTTCACCAAAAACTTCAAAACGGTCCCTCAGTTCTGTCCGTGTTGTGTCAGGTCTGATTTTACCAACATAAATCACACGGCGCTCTTCCTATGGGGGGAAGGAAGGAGAGAGTTTTGCTGGTTCTGGAGATGGGAAAAAAGCTAACCCTCAGCTGGGCACTGTGGCTCACGTCTGTAATCCCAGCACTTTGGGAGGTCGAGACGGGTGGATCTTGAGGTCAGGAGTTCAAGACCAGCCTGGCCAAGATGGTGACACCCTGTCTCTACTAAAAATACAAAAATCAGCCAGGCGTGGTGGTGGGCACCTGTAATCCCAGCTACTCAGGAGGCTGAGGCAGAGAATTGCTTGAACCCAGGAGGCAGAGTTTGCAGTGAGCCGAGATTGTGCCACTGCATGGGCGACAGAGTGAGACTCCATCTCAAAAAAAAAAAAAAAAAAAAGTTAACCCTCTAGAAACATTCATAAATGTATAATCATGCATAAGAAACCCCACTGAGCTTTGCAATTAGAGCAAAACATACACTACAATGGAAGGAAAGACTACATTTGAACCAAGTATTAATTCCCATTTCTTCAGTATCAATCTCTTTTCACTCACATACATTCTTCTCTTCACCTCTACTCTTTTCTACCTTTCCTATATGTCTCTGTTCTACTCTCAGATGAATTTGATGTGTTAGAAAAGAAGTCTGTATAATGCACTCTTTTTTAAAATCATGGAACAATACCTATTAAATATTTGAACATTTGTGACTTGATTATTAATCAAAATTATTATGAAACTGACCTGGCTTACAAAACTATTACATTTCTCATTAACTCAGAATTCTAATAATGAGACGAACAAATTCTGACGTCCTCAAAAGAGTGGTTCTTAAACTCTACTATAAATAAAAATTACTTGGGGTGCTGGTTAAAAATGCAAATTATTGGGCTTTATCCCAGTTGTACTAAAAAAAAAATGTAAGATAAGGTTCTACAACCTTTATTTTTAACAAGCACACCCCAGCGATTTTGATGCAGGTGGTCCAAAGACAATAATTTAAGAAATAAAGTCTTAAAATGTAGGCCATTTTCAGCCATGAGTCTCCGAAGAATAAGAGCTAAATAAAAGAGGCTATAAATTTCACTTTGCCAATAAATCTAGTCTTATTTTAGGAATAGACTAGAGGGGTGTGGCCTAATTTTCACAAGTGGAGTCAATATCATCATAATCTGAAAGTCATCAGTAATTTATAACCTACAAAATACAGGAATAATATTTTATAGCCTGAGGATAAATTCTTTTTTTAAAGCACAGCAATGCATTCTTAGTGTAGGAAGCAATCCTACATCTCTTGTTCCAAGAAGATAAGGCCAAAAGTTATGATGTCTCTCAAAGTTTTAAGAACATAAGGAGTTAATATAAAGATTGTGCTCACCATCTAGTTTGTTTGTATACTAAGGACAAACAAGGATAAAATGAATTTAAGGTTGCAGAGATTTAAGTTGGGTTGACGCAAAGACTAGAAGCAGAGAACTGAGGTACAGACTTAGCTTGCCCAAGAGTTTTCTTTGGATGTACTGAGAGTCCCTGGTCTTGGGTGATGAAAAGAATAATTCGGGCTGAAAGCAAAAAGATACCCTGTCTTATTTACTGAATGGTTTTCATTTTCGTATGCCCAGTGTTTGACCAAGAATCTGGTAAGAGGTAGGCACCCAACAAGCATTTGTGAAATGTAACTGAACAATTCGCAGACCCTCTATCTTCCTGGATGATAAGCTTACCAATGTCTGGTCTTATTCTACCATATATAACATTCTTGCCTCTATTTTTATTAGGAAAGTAATCCTAATGTCCACCCGAGCCTCAGGTGCAAATAATCAATTATCTACTTGACACTTCAGGTTGGTTGTGCCTGAGGAACCTCACACTACACCAACCTTACCGAAGCCCAACCCTCCAGCCTTGCCCTCTCCCCATTTGGTTCTTTCCCAATGTTCTTGTATTAGTGAAATGAACACCATCCAGCCAGTTATTTAGGAAGGAATTTAAGTACCTCCCTTTACTCCTTTCTCTTGGTCCTCTCCACATGTCTAACTACTCATCAAGTCCTATTGATTTATTTCTCCTAAATCTCTCTCTAACCTATTTTCTTTATTCCATGTGTCCTAAGCCAAGCCTCCAGCTTCTCTTTCTGGACTAGTATAACAAAAAAATCTCTTAATTTGGATCTGTGTCCACATTTATTCTTCTCCAATCTATTCTTCCATTGTTCTTAGGATAGTCTTTGCTAAGAAAACAGGAATCCAATGATGTCTATTAACTGATAAAACATTCCAAAGGCTTCTCACAACGTTTAATGAAAGATCTAAATCATTAACAAGACCTACAAGGCCCTGTGTGGTCTGGACCTGTTGTCATCACGGGCTTTATCTCTCATATCACATTCTTTCTGTGACTCTCTCTCCCAGCCACACTGAGCTTCTATTAGTCTAGTATATACTGTGCACATTCCTTCCCAAGGCCTTTGCACATGCTCTTTCCCTGCTACTGGAACACCCTATTCACACTGCAGCACTCCCAAGCCTCTCACATACACACACTGTCTACAACAACCTTAAGCTCAACAATCACATTTTTTCTGAGACTTGCAATGAGGTCAGAATTCCTATTAGTTGCTCTTATGGAAAACTCTCCTTTCCAATTGTAATTCATAGTTTATCTACTGTTTAATGTCCACCTCCCCAGGACAATAAAAGCTTCATGACAGTAGAGACCATATCTGTTCTCTTCACTACTGTATTTTAAATAAAGCATCGAAACATAACAGACTATCAATGAATATCTGTTGTAAAATCAATCAGTTATGAATCAATCAATCATCTTGAACACCCATCCCATTCCCTTCATTACATCAAAGATGCCTAAGTGTGGTCTTTATTCCGTAAGACTATCCGACACAAAGGAGAAGGAAAGTTAGATTTGATGCTTTATCACAGAAAACAAAAACAAAAACAAAAACAAAAAACGTTGCTCAGGGAGCTCAGTTGAGTGAAGAAACAAAGATTTCTATAATTTTTTTTTACAGATTTAAGTGTAAGAAGTAGCTACATGTTTGCAGCTACATGTTTGAAGGAATCTCACTCATAAAAATCACCTCTGAAAATCAAAGGTAGGTAGGAGATAACAAACAGTTGGTAAAACATAACTGTACTAACAATAGCTATTGAGACTAAATAAATGACCAGATGAAGCAGATAACCAATGCAGAGTAACTGCCTGATGCCCTTCCATGTAGCTTGTATGTCTCAATCAAAGGCTGTGATTGTGCCGCTTCAGAGCACCAGGCACATCCTGGCAGTCAGGAAGTAGAAATGGATGGAGAGGGCCGGGCGCGGTGGCTCAAGCCTGTAATCCCAGCACTTTGGGAGGCCGAGACGGGCGGATCACGAGGTCAGGAGATCAAGACCATCCTGACTAACACGGTGAAACCCTGTCTCTACTAAAAAAAATACAAAAATCTAGCCGGGCGAGGTGGTGGGCGCCTGTAGTCCCAGCTACTCGGGAGGCTGAGGTAGGAGAATGGCGTAAACCCAGGAGGCGGAGCTTGCAGTGAGCTGAGATCCGGCCACTGCACTCCAGCCTGGGTGACAGAGCCAGACTCCGTCTCAAATTAAAAAAAAAAAAAAAAAAGAAATGGATGGAGAGGCACATCCCAGACCATCGATGCACACTTGAGCAAGGGAATCATAACACCACATTCCATTCTATTTACGCAGCCAGCTCTAGTCAAACAGCCAAATGTGATGGGACTGTTATCTAAACTTAAACTTCCTGGCGCCTGCTTTCATGGGTGTTAAGGAATTTTTTTTTTTTTTTTTTTTAATGAGCCTTTTAGAAAAGTTACTACTGTATAGAGAGAAAGGGGGGAAATGCAGACGTGAGAGAAAGAAATTGAGCCATTGCAAAGAAATTGCTCAACTACCATTATGGGAATAAACACAGCCTATGTATTCAAGGAAACTTGAAGTTAAAGTGAAAATCGACCATATGTATGCCCATATGCAGACATACTGGGACAGTCTCTGAATTGCAGCTTTATACGAAGTTGTATGCAACAACGATCCCATACAAAATATAAACCAGAGGACCTTTTATAATGGATACTGATACATTCTACAGTAAAAGAAGATATAACCTAGAGGGGAGAAACAAGAAACCGAAGGGGTGTTCCACAATTACTTGAATTGCCTCTTTTTCTACCTCTCTTTTTATGAAGCACAGGAATGGGGCCATGCCTCGCTACTTTACAAAGATCAGAGATTGGATACATGCTGAAATGCTTATTTGAGAAAATTATTGAAGTGCTTGATTTTCCTACTGCTAAAAATGAAAATAAAAGGCATCCAAACACCTAGAAAGCAAAGACAAAAATCTTTCCAAGATTGGCCAAAATGTCTAGCAAAGAACTGATTCTTTTAAACATGTTGCAGTTGTATTAGACAGATGAATAGATTTGATATCTTTAAAAAACCTTAACATTTGCAGCCAATTTTTCAAGACATTAATTTCTAAACAGGAGATGAAAGGAAAAGAAATCAAAATGCTTAATAACATTTTCAACTTCTCAAAGGCTTGGAGGAACTCTAAACCTTTGGAAACAGCTCCTTGAAAAATGATTTTCAGACCAGTTTTCACTATTGAGGAGGATGGAACATCTATCAAATAACTTTTAGCTTCAGTTTTCACAAAAGCTAGTATGCTGATGGGGTGGATAATAAAATTGAAGACTTACGTTGCATGAACAGCTATAGTAAATCCTCATTATACCAAAACACGGCAGATAAAGAAACAAAAAAATGACTGAATTAACTGACTTCACATTACTAAAATCTTTATCAAAAAGAGTCTAGGGCTTCCCGGTTACTGGAGGAAAACATACAGTGGTTGTTTCTCATCAAATAAACTACTCCTGATAAAAGGGGTTTGACTAAGAAAAGAGAAAAGGTAGCAGAGAAATGAACATTTGTTGAATTCTTATCTATGCCAAGTACTGCATTTGATGCTTTTTAATGGGTGATCTCTCTAAAATGTTCTATTGTGC